GTTGGTGCGGCAGATGGAGCATCCCATGGGAACATGGGTGGTGGGCCCTAGCGCGTTTGGCAGAAGACCCAGAAGTGAACCCCCGGATCAGTGACTTGTGCCTCCTGGGTCTGGGGGGACACTCAGGGTCCCCCTGTGACTGATCACTGAGCCGGGGGGTAGGGCGGGGGGTGGCAGATCCGGAAGTGGACCGGGGGCCCACGCGCTTGGTGGAAGACCCGGAAGTGGACCAGAAGTACTTGTACTAGGAAAAAGGGAGAGAAAGTTGTCCACACACTCTTAGAGTCTTCTAATGGTTAATTGCTAGTCCAATTAAAATTAATCACATTTCCAGGTGATAAGAAGGAGTAAGAGAAGGGTTCTTAGTTGTCCCAATGTGGAAGTCTGATCTCTAGCCTTCAAATTGACTGAGTATATTTGCTCTTGAGGCTGGTATTGTAGCTTATAAATAAGTACTAAATGACTGTGCTGTAACAACTGTGTGGCATATCTGTAGATGCACTGGGCACATCTACACATGTACATGCTTGCTGCACCGTAAACCTTACTAATCGCAAGTAAATTTGCTACCTGAAAATACAAGTAGCAAATTTACTTGTGATTACTTACTGCACAGTAGCATCCATGTAGATGCCTGACTGAGAGCAAATCTGCTCCCGGTCAACCAGCCACCAGGGGGCAGGAAATTTCCCCAGCAGTAAGGAGCTCCAAGCCCCCTGGTCTGAGATCACAATCAGGGAGCAGGGGTAGGAGATCCTTATCTCCCAGTCCCTGCTTCACCATTGTGATCAGGGAGTGGGTGGGCTAGGAGATGTTTATCTCCCAGCCCAGACTCCACAGTCACTTGGGCTGGGATATCCTTATCTCCCAGCACCAGCTCCATGACACAGAGCTGGCACTAGGAACTGAGGATCTCCCAGCACTGGCCCCATAACTACAAAACTGGTGCTAGGAGCTCCCTACTGGTGGGGACTGGGGAGCCTGTTCCCCACTCAGCTTCATGTTCACAGAGCTGAGCATGGAACAGGATCCCAAGCAATGACCCCTTCCCCCGCCCCGCCCCGCGCCCTGCCCCCCCCCCCAAAAAAAAAAATCACA